TATTCAAGGGCGGAAACTTAGATTTTTATAGTCACTGCGTACCTAACAATATAAAAGAAATTTGAACTACCCGACCTTTTGCAAACTAGACAATTTTTTTTTTTTTTGCTAATTTGATTGGGCTAAATTTCCACTCTTGCGTTCGCACTTATTTAGAGGCTCTGAATCCTTTTATCAAATCCTCCTTGATACCTGTCATACTCAGTGCTTCTCAGAGCTTATTTAAGGATATCAAGTCATATGCCTTCTCTAAAGGCTATTAAGTTGATAAACACTAAATGCACCTCTTGGTTATGTGCTGTCTGCTTTTTGAATTTTTTTAAAGCACACGTATAGGGATAGAAAATTCCGACTGCAGGTCAGAACAGAATGTTCCACCGCTTAAATTTGTTCCACTTCTCGTTTCGTTCCTTCTTCGTAGCGAAGAACACTTGCAACGAGATAGAGAATAATAAAGCAGATACGCATAATAATAAAACTAATTAAAGCAACGAAACAATTATCGAGACAGTGGAAAATGAAGATGATAGAAGAAGAAATAAAGAAAAAAAACTTGACGTTTAGGAATATTGAAGAGAGCCTGAGAGTAACGTTCTCTGTAAGGTACGCCTGAATCAGAGGAAAATAATTGAAGTGAACAGCTACTTAAGCAGAGGGTATTTTAGATAACAATTAGATGGGATCAAATCAAGTGAAAGTTTGCTTAGCAGAACAAATAAAAAATTGATATGTATAATTAATTGTCACTTTACATTCCATGCGAGAGAATATTTTCAAATGTTGGCATGTTATGTTAATCAATCTAGGATGGACTCGTTTATCGGTTGATAAAGAAAAATCTTTTGTTTTTATATTTCAAATTTTTGATTATTTGTACTTATTTATATTTCGGCCTTATTGGTTTTGTTTTTAAATTCATACTAAATTTTGTATTATGAATCCATTTTTTTTTTTTTCTTGATTATTAAATATAATTTTGTAATAAAACTCTTTTCAGTTAGTAAAATTCATACATTCAGGGTGGCAACCTACCTGAAAACCTGGAAAAATGGGAAAAGTTGTGGAATTTTCAATACAGGGAAAAGTCAGAGAAAATTTTTTAAAGTCAGGGAATTTTTTAGTTTGTAAATATTTTTTCAAATTGGAATTACTATACAGTGAATGTCGTTTATAGTCTTAAGGAACCTGGTAAACTTTATTGTTATAAATGTATAATTGTTATAATGACAATGGTCGCTATATCTATCCACCTGTCACTGTAAATAACGGCCCTTGCCATTATATTAAAATTAAACACGGTTAATGAACAAAATGGAGTTAAAACAGTACTTTTTAAAAAAGAAAAACATATCGGTACTATTTACCATTTGTAATGTATACATCTATGGATATATTTATTTTTTATATAAGGTAATGAACTTCTTAACGGTAATTCTGTTTCTAGTTAAACACCCATTCAGGGGTCCCCTATCCTCCCCCAAGCATGAATCTCTCCCCTCCACTCCTGAAGATATTTTATTGCTCTCCTTTTCTTAAAAACATTAGAAATTAAAGTACTGTAAATCATATACAATTACACTTCCTAAGGTTTGTTCCATATATTCCTTTTGTCTCCTCGTTTAAAACTTTTCAATCCAAAAATTCACAACTCCGTCGAAATGTGCCCCCCTCAAAAATTGTTAATGGCACAACTTGTGCCATGAAACTCCCTTGCATACAAACCTGCATCCATTAGACAAATTGTCAATCTTAAAAAGCTATGTTCGGTCGTAGGTCAACTCGGTAAAAAATTGTGTTTCCTCGCGCTGGATATGTTGGTATCATAATTCTTATGAACTGATGGCTAAACCTTTGAAAATACTTTTGTTGATTAACTGAAATAGATCGCTGGCAGTTTCACAGCTAAATTTTTTAAAAACAATATTATTTTGGGAGCAGAATCTTTGTATACTAGTTTAAGATTCATTTAGAGGATTGCAGATTTATTTTAAATATTCGTTAGTCTTATCACGTAAAATCTGACTTAACGCTGATAAAGAATAGAAGCTGCTGACAATTTCATTTAACGGAAGGACTTATAGCTATAACCAATTAAAACTCTAGATAAACGTCATCTGAACACACAGCTATGGTCAGTCGTTTGAAAGCTCTTTCTATACGAAAATTTAAATTAAAGAGGCAAAATTTGATGGTTTATTTAACGGAAGAACTAACAAATGAAATATTGATATGATGTAAAGAATATGTCCCTAAAAGAGAATTCACCTTAACGGACAATGTACTCTGTTGAGTTTTGAAAACTGATGATGTCAAAGTCATCATATTAGGACAGTCGGATAGTAGTTGGATGAGGATAAAATTCAAATAGTCGGTTTCTTCTGTTTTTTTGAGATACTGAATCTGAATTTGATGTTCCCGTATGAAATTTTCCATTGCGTTCTGAGATATATGCTAAAAACATAAAAATTTCTAGTTTTTTGGATATGACTCTGAAACTATCAATTTTATGAATAGCTCTTGTAAGACCAAAGGGTGAAGAGTTAGAGAATCTTGACTATTGGCTTATTTCACTAGAAGAATCTCTCTTCGGTCGGTTTTTCACCAAAATCTCTTAATCTATGAATATATCTAAGAAATTCATATTTTCTATGTACCTCATGTAGTCATGTAGACACGCTTATATTTGAGAAGATTAAGCGGCTGTTAAAGGGCAAGAAATTGAAGGAATATTTCACTCACAGTATCTCTGCCATTCTCAACCTAAGCACTTTTTATCTTTTCAATGCTTTTGATTCAGCTAATTTAACTTTGTTCATAACAAAACTAGAATGTTTAAACAAATTACATAGTTTTTATGTATTCTGTTAGAATAAAAGACATAAAAATTCATAATAATTAAAAACTTAAAAACCGAAAAGTGCTTCCAAGTCCGATTGCTGTAATGACTGCAACAACTATCTATCTACTCACGATAGATTATAATCGGTTCCGCTATTAGAATACGAGCTACCTCCTTTCGTTTAACGGAAGGATTTATAGCTAGTAACCAACTTTAATTCTAGATAAGCATCATCTAAACATAACTCCAGTCAGTTGGTTGAAAGCACTTTCTATACGAAAATTTAAATTAAAGAGGCAAAATTTGACGGTTCATTTAACGGAAGAACTGACAGCTGAAATTTGGATATGATGTAAAGAATATGTCCTTAAAAGAGAATCCACCTTGACTGACAATGTACTCCATTGCGTTTTGAAAACTGGCAATGTCAAAGTCATCAAATTAAGTCAGTCGGACAAGGAAAAAAATCTAATAGTCGGTTTCTCTTTGGTTTTTATTTTTTTTTTTTTTGAGATACTGAATCTGAATTTGATGTTCCCGTATGAAATTTTCAACATTCAGCTCTTTTTATGTTTTCGATACTTTTGATTCAGCTAATTTAACTTTGTTTATTACAAATCTGGAATGTTTAAGCAAATTACATAGTTTTTATGTATTCTGTTATTATGAGAGACATAAAAATTCATAATAATTAAAATTTTAAAAACCGAAAAGCACTTCTAAGTCTGAGCGCTTTTATGGCTTTTCAACTTTTCGTATTTTAATAATGAAATACTTTCAAATTAATTCAAGCTTAGGCAGAGTCGTAATATGCGAGTAGGTGAAATATCATTGGACCGCTCGGTTTTGGTCCTTAATTTTTTGATGATTGTTATGCATGCATCTCTCATGCCAACAGAATATATAGAAGCTATGTAATCTGTTTATATATCCTAGTTCTATTATAAAATAGTTAAATTAGCTGAACGAAAACACTGAAAAGATAAAAAGAACTTAAGTTGAGAGTGGCAGATAATACAAGGGAAATACGCCTTCGATTCTATGAGCTTTAACAGCCGCTTAACTCTCTCACCTATTAATGTGTCTACATGAGGTACATAGGAAATTTAATGCTGTTTCAAATTGATTATATTGAATTTCTTCTATAGATGCATAGATTATTAGTTTTAGGAGGAAAACGACAAAAAGATATTTTTCTTGTGAAATAAACAAACAGTCAACAATCTCTAACTCCTTACCTGTTTTTTTATTTTTTTTATTTGAAAACGATTCATCGTGTCCTCGAGTAGATTCACAATTTTTTCAAATTGTAAGATTTACATTTAATTCTTGAGCTAGGCTACTCTTTGACTCTTCTCTCTTCAGTTGGCAACATATATATATAATTTTTCTTTCTAGTAAAAATTTAACTAATAAAACAGAAATATTAATTTAACACTTAAGAGTGGGAATGAAATTGATCCTGTAAATTTGATTCTTACATAGAGAAGGAATGAAATGAAATATTTCCTTGATAAGTGAGATATAAACACGAAGGTTGTAGGAGTTCTGATAGTTTTAGGAGTTCAGCTGTCGCTATATCCAATCGTTTTTTCTAATAACAATAAGAAATCGAAATCAGTAAACCCGATCTCTATATCCAATAAAAATTTTGTTGCAAAAGCCATCGCAAACATTAGACATGGCGTTTTCGTTGTTAAAGCTGTTATATACGATATTGCAATTTGAAAATGAAAAATTTTACTGTAAGCTGCTGCCTTAATTATTATGAGTCTCTCATTATTGTTATTAACTGTAAAACTATATAATTAGGATGCTAATCCAACATCATTTCTTAAACAGAAAATCTATCTTGATTCTCAAACAGAACCTAAAATTCCATGATTTATTTCTCTAAAGTATCCATTTATTCCTCGAGTCTAATAACTAGTAACTTCATGGTGGTTAAAAATTGCTTTACAACCTTATTACCCTAATCTTCAATTTCAACGTCTACTAGAATTTATGTGGATTACAATGTTCTGTTGTGTTGTTTTTCGTAATAAACTATTGTATTGTTTATTCATGCTGCTATTATGTGATTTTATTATTTATTTTTTTTTTAGCATAGCAATATATTAACTTTTTTTGCAATTTGTAATGTTTTGTTGTTGTTTTCTAGCCTGTAACTGCATCAGAAACTAAAATAAAATTACCTGGAATGGAATTCAACAATGTGAGTATTTGCTAACAAGTGAATTTTTAAACTATTTTAATATAGGGATTAACTTCTAAGAAATAAATTTATAATAGGCTGCTAAAATATAGTTTCCTGCCACTGTAAACAATATTTTCCTCTAGATTCTGATTGGAAGTTTTATTTTGGATATTTTATAGTTGACCGTTGCATTATAAAGGAAGGAGATGGTCCAGGGTGGCGGTCATAAATAGGCTAAATAGTGGTAAAACTATTTTATTAAAAGCCTTAGGCTTAAAATAAAATACTTTTACCACTATTTAGCCTATTTATGACCGCCACCCCGGAACATCTCCTTCCTTTGGAAGTTATATTGTTTTGTTTTTTCTTTTTCTGGAAGTCCCTTTTTTCAGTATTGGTTTGATTTCAGTAAATATTATTATTCCTTCTTAACTAATATTGATATTTTATGAATTATTGACTTCATGAAAATTTTTAGTCAATTTTCTTTGTCAGTTTCCCGCTTGGACCAGGTTATAACTGCCCATGTGTATGATTTTCTACTTTTTAGGAGTTTTCATGGTAAATTATACAGAACTATGTAAATAACTAGTTAAGAGTTTTATTGAGGAGATATTTATGAGGCAGTGAAGAAGTCAAGCTTGACAATGGATCACACTGCTTTACTCAGGGGTATCCCAAGGGATAAGATCAAAGGAAGAAGGGTCTTATGAGGAAGGTCCATGAATGTGAGCCAGATTGATCTTAGTTAATATCTGCCTTACCATTAGGAATGTTACTCATTCAGGTTTATGCACCAATTGAAGATTTAAGGGTAATCGAGATCTATCAATTTTGCAGTGATCTGGCCAAAGCTGTCGACAAGAATAAGAGCCGAAATATTATTATAGATAGATAAATAATAAAATATTATTATAATGTGAGACCTCAATGCAAGGACGGGTAGAGATTATCAAAGAGCTTTTGAATGTATAAGGTGGAAAATACGAGTAAATAACAAAGGTGTAATAATGGAGCGAAATGAAATAAAAATGAAACCTGTAAAAAAGTGAAAATGCATGCACAATAAAACATATGTTGAATATAGATCCCAAATCAATTCATGGTGCTGAATAAATAAATAATTCCCCTTTTGAATGTTTCCCAATATATTGAATAAAGGCTAGATATTCATATAAAATTGAAACAAAAGTGATGCATAAGAAAATTAAGCATACAATATAATATAACATGAAATAAACAATTGTCCATTAGGAATAAACATAAACTTTTAAAATAAAAGGCTATTTAAGAGAGAAAAAATTAAAGTTACATTGAATGTCTTTAAAGGATTGAAAAAAAAAACAACTATAACCGCTATAATGTCTTTTGGTGAGAAAATGTCTATGAGAAATTTGACAATGTTACGAAGAGAGAACGAGAAAAGAAAAAAAATAAATCCAAGCCTGAAGTAGGTAATCCTACTTCCAAAGAGGTTACCTTGAGATGCCAGCTGGTGATGTCAAGCATTCAATATGCGCATATCGTTCTTGATCAATGGCTACCGAAGTCCTTCAGCTGTGATGAAAAAGATGGCACTAGGCCAACAGGTGAGTCTGAAGCTCTAGCAAATCCTGAGTGAAGGGGTAAGATCTAATGCCCAGTACATAGATCCAGCGCCTATCAATATTCACTCTAGACTGACTCCCACATTAGACAGGCAGCCTTATCACAGTATTTTGGTGTACTAATCCTTAAGACTAGGCATTACTACTGGGCGTGTGTGTTTATACAAATGCGCTAATACATCACAAAATAAAGCATAATATTTAAATTAGACAATTAAATAGTTTTCCTCTATTCAATTAAAACTCAAAAAAGGTGAATGCTGAGAATGAAAAAAAAAGAAAAGAGGAAAACATATACAGTCGTTAACAAAGTAAGAAGATATTTTTCAGATGTAAAGGTTATCTATGGAACTGAAATTGGCAATGATCACATGCTCTTGATTATTGATACCAGAATATTGTTAGAGAAGAATGTAATGTAAAGAATGTAATGTATAGCCTATGAGTGTATAAAGGTAAAGGAGTTTAATGATCCTCTTATAAGGACACTCTATGAAGATTAGGATGCAAAAATTGGCATCCTCAATGTGCAGTTTGAACATCCCTTAGAGTTTTGAAACAATTTGAGTTAAAAACACTGACCCCTGATTGAATAAAATGTATTGACTTCTTCATTCTTTCTAAAAGTTTTTTAACGATTTTTCGAGCTAACGGCTGGATAGATATTTGAGTTAGATATATTATATTATTCGGTGAGGTACCAAGAATGTTTAAAAAGCGAAACAAAACGAAAGTCATCTTTTCGGGGTGTCCACTAAAAGGTATGTAAATAGTTTTTGAGTTAGCGGCTTGGTAAATTTTTAAGTTTGATACCTTAAATTATTCAGTAAGATCCTGTGAGTGTTTTGAAACAATGTGAGTTTTAAAAAACACTGGCCCATGATTGAATAAAATGTGTTTAATCGACTTGCTAAGAGGTATGTAACGATTTTTCGAGTGATGGCTTGATAGATATTTAAGTTAGATATATTATATTATTCGGTGAGGTACCAAGAGTGAATGCTAGCATTCACCCATAATTAGCATCATAAATATTTTCTTACTACGATATGTCCCAGCGACGATATTTTCGTCCACTTCCAGCACAGATCACCTCTTGTGGTGTTACATGATACTAGCACAAAAAGAAAACAGTACGAATCCAGTATGACTGCTGGTTACAATACGTTAGGAACTGCCTCCATGAGGTTCTTAGTTCCGTCACTATTTCTCCTGGCAAACCCATAGTTTCGTCTCAGAATGGCGTCCTTTAAAAGACATAAACCCCAAGGGTCTTCAGTTTGAATAAGTGAACCAAAAAATAGTGTTCTCTTAATTTATTCACCTCACATTAAGGTTGTACATTCCATTTGTACAGTACTTCATGGTAACTTTATTAAGCACTCCCCCAGTATTGTGGCTAGCGTACTATTCTGATATGGTGAAGGGAACCATTCAATACCTATACATATTCTTTTTTTCTGTTATTATATAAATATATAATTTTATATTTATACACATGTATATAAATTCTTTTAAAGTGGTAGTTTAATAACACTAAATTAATTTATCAATTAAATTAAATCCATTTCATTTTGTTAAATCATTGTAATTAATTAAAACACATATATTATTTTAAATTTATTTCTAAGGTTGCTTTTTTTTTTTTTTTAATGATTTAAAGTAAATTATGTTTCCTTCATTTTGTTATTATTTTGTATCATGTACTATTTCATTTTTTTTTTTTCTTAATACATAGAATTACTTCTATTCGTCATTTCATTTATAAACATATTTATCCTCATGGATTTTACCATTTTAACATTTTAAAATTGATTAATTAATAAGGGTACAGTGCCTATGGATTAGGTTGTGCAGAATTGGCTGTTCATAATTTGAACACAGACTCGCCAAAATACTGATAAGAAAAGCAGAACAAATCAGCTTATAAGTAAATTAAAATAAAACAAAATATATGATAGTATATGATAGCCGAAAATCCCACCCTAACAACATGATCTGGGTAGAAGGTAAATTGTTCTCAGGAGTAGACAAAGTTGAATACCTAGGATTCACAATTACCTTAATGAATGAAAAAATGTGTCAGAAATAGACCAGAATATAAATAACAAGTGCAAGCAGAGTGTTCTCTCTTTCAAAGGTATTGAAATCCCATGAGATCTCAAATTAAGGGTGTACAATGCTAAGTTGACCATAGTTTTCATTATCAAAAATCTTCATTTTTTCAGACCTGCAATATGTATGTATATATAAAACATAAGATAGTAATTATAGTCTGATAATATATCACAAAACCTTATTTTAATAAACTTCAATAGCTTCTGTTTATTCTTTTTATTCAAAACGTTTCGATTCCTGTTTAGGACATCTTAATTAACCAAAATAATACATCTTCATTACACGGTGCTTTTTGATTTGTATACAAGAATTCTGTAAGAATTTTGTACCCTGTATTTTTGAAACAGACAATATAGAGTTTTTTGGTGTAGTGACGATGTCCTCACCTTTAAAAGATATCTTTTAGAGCCTTTAGTCCAAAAAGTCAAAACCCATCAAAATATGCCTCCCTCAAAAATTTTTATGGAAACCCCACCATGAAAACCCCTTTTGGGCAACCATGACCATACCCAACTTTAAGATGAGCAACAACTGTCTTCCAATGAAGAAGATTTTGCCTTCTATTTTATTCATGAAGTCCTTGGCTGTGAACTGACATTCCTTGCCATTGGTATCAAGATAATTGTATATTGATTCCATTCAGGCTTGGGTAGAGGATGAAGCCACGTACCAGCTAACAGGTACGTTGGATTTAAAAGTGGGTGTGCGGTCTTCAACAGGTTCTAAACAATGTTCAACGGCTTGGAAATAATCATCATTTAAGGTACTCACATGTTGCTATTCCGAAGAACTATGTTACAAAACAAAAAAGTTAACTCCACCTGTATGTGACCCTGTCTATCTGGTGAGAACAGCGTATGTGAGAGGTAATGTCATGCAACATGACAGTACCTTAAATGATGATTATTTCTGAGCCGTTGAATATAGTTTAGAACCTGTTGAAGACCTGGTTGCAGCTGATGATCAATACCATCTGTCTTTTATAAAAAATTTCCTGATTTGCACAACCACTTACAAATCCAACATGCCTGTCAACTGCCCTTCATCCTCTAACCATGCCCGATTGGAACCAATATACAACCATCTCGAGACCAATGGCGAGGAATGTCAATTCACAGCCGAGGACTTAATGAGAAAAATAGAAGGTGACAATCTTCCTCATTGGAAGACAGCTGTTGCTTATCTAAAAAATCGGTGTGATGAAGACATCTTCATTACACAAAAAAAAGAACTACATTGTTTCATTCAAAAATACAGGGTAAAAAATTCTTAGAGAATTCTGGTATACACATC